ACCACGTGTCCCTAGAAATAGCTTTATTATGCCGAGCCTGAATCAGAAAGATTACAATATGAACCAATCCAATAAACTAATAAGAATGAATCATTAGAAGTCAGAACAAGCAACTCTGACTTGGAATTTCTAACAGACAATTCAAGTTCTGAAGGCTTTTTCTTGGTTGAGTGGAAAAGGCTTAGACCTTCCATCTCTGCGGCATTATATGCAACTTTCCAACATTCCTCAGCAGAAAGTAAACAAGAATACTACTGGCTTAATTTTGTGCAGGAAAAGTCCCGGTTGCACATTCTATTAAAATGTTCAAGAACATTACTAGCAAACAAGAAAATAACGGTGTTATCTTTTCTTGCATCCATAAAAAAAAGGTGATCCTCCAAGTTTCTGGAGTCAAATTCCAGAGTCTTACAAAAAGAAATCTTCACCACAGAGGTTATCGGAACAACAGGGAGCATTGCCCCTAGACATTAAAGTTCGCCTTTTTCAAATAGACAGATTAGTAACATTACCTGCAAGAACTGACACCAGTGGTCAACCAGAGGCCACTGCTTTTCAGCAAATAGTAACTGCCACATTCCAATTGCAGTGTCCAATGCTAAGGATTTCTGCCCCTAAAACACATATATCCACTTTAGAAGTCCATGCATTAGGCAGCCATTGTGCTGGTATCTAACGCGCATGCCACTGAAGAAAGAAAAACAATTTTGAATATATCCTTCAGGGAATGCTCAAGAAGCACGAGTACCTTTTCTTTTGCCCAACCAAATGCGAAGTTGTAAATATCACGAAACTTATCTGGACAGACATGAAATTAGCATAATACAGCAAGAGAAAATCACATAGAAATTCGTTTCCAATCATAAGGGATTATACAAATTGCAACATGATATAAGCTACAAAAGAATACAAACGTTCGTCTTTCAACTCAGAGCGCATATATGGTATCCTTTCTCTGAACCTCTCCAGAGAATCTATCCTGCGATCATAAATTGAACAATGATACTATGACAAGCATACTCTTGATCCCACGCACGCTATTCTTGTCCTAAGGAATGTAACTGCAAAAAAATTAATTACCCTAGTGCTTGTAATCCACCTATAAATTCCTGTTTGGAAAATTCACACATTGTGTTCGCCTTCATATGCCAAGAAACAACCAACTGCAGATAATTGCAAAAGACATTAATTTTTGTATTTTTTTTTTTAATAAAAAAAGCTAATAGTCAGAAAACTTGCACAAATCAGTAATTAAACTGAAATTCTTTAAATTCAGAGGCGAAAAATAATCAACCGCATCCACATCTTTCAATTAGATAATACTATAATTGTCCAACCAAATATACAGTGTTACATGATTAATGGGAAATTTAAACAATCAGCTTCTTTTAACAAGGATGAAGGAAGCACTTAAAGGGACCTTGAAGTTATTTATATCAATGTCTCTGTCCACTGCAAACTTATCGGTTATGATAAATGGAAAACCGGGAGGTAAAATTGAGGCTAAAAGAAGGTTAAGATTAAACATGCGTGTTTAATTGTAAACTTCTGAGGAGAACGGTCTACAATTAGCCCCCACTAGAAGAAATGCATGCATGTCTAGAATCTAAATTTCTTTAAAATGAGAGACAACATTAAGTTTTAGTTAAATTTACACACGAATGCCTTGCTTAGCAACAATTCTTTTGAAAAGCATACCATAACTATATCTTGAGGATCCACCTGCAAAAAAAGGTGTGTCACGTCAGTTCAATAGGTAGAAATAACTAGAACTGAATAATCAAGTAGTAATATTTATAGCCCTCAATTCATCAAGCACATAAAACATAGTTGGACACATAAATCACCTACCTGAAGGTCATTGCAGAGCAGTGAGATACCATCAGCCAATATCATGTCAACATATGGATCTGCCAACCATGTTAATTAATAAACTGTTACTTTCATGTTCATAGAAAATCATAATCTCTGTCAGCATGGTTTCACTACCCTTTACAAGTTTACAGAAAGAAAAGAAATCTAGTAATGATAAACGAATATAAATCTTGCCTTTATATCTGCTATAAAGCTCTTCCAAATGTCTAGAGTCGGTGAATGCTTTAATTAGGGGTTGACTGTAAAACACATCAATAGCTCCTTCAAGATGCCACTCACTAGCCTTCAGGGCCTGGTGAGCAACCTTTTCACTGCATGATTAATAAAATATCAAAATCAATGAAAATATGAGACGACCCAATTTCATTACTCATGCTTCTGTACCTCATATGAAAGAAAACTACATCACAGATCAGCTTTCAAACGCAAAAGAAGACTATTTGGATTAACAAAACATAGCCCTTTTGTAGGAGATATACAAGGAGACGGTTTACAAAACAAAAGGAAAAATGACAACATATAGGTTTAGGTTTGAAGAATCTATGTCATATATACTTGATAATATCTTAATGGGTTAAAATATTATATTTTTTTTTTTCTTATGACCGGATATCAGAAACCCAACTCCTTACATTATGTTCAAGACCCACCTCCACTAATACTCGGGGAGGCTTCACCGACCCTAGGGCTACTTAGAAAGACAGGTGTCTTAACTTATTAAACAAACTTTCGTTCTGGTTTCCAAGACTTTGTATATCTATATCTTTATTAACTAAGGCAGCTGATCCCTCCCGCTACTAATGCTAAGTGTTAACAGCAATTGAACTGAGGAGATATCAACTAAGCCCTAAATGTTTGGTGGTAAAAAATATTAGAGAATTCAAATCCCATGAAATTAAAAAATCCAATGTCATTCGAAGTGAATTTTAATTCTTCTGCAGATGACGAATCTAATTTTTACAATAATTCACGTCTACTTCTACAGTTTCTATCTTGCCTAATAAGTGCATGTCAGTCGACAGTCGCCTGATTTCTTAGTTTTTCTCTTTCCACACATAAGGTTAGTCTTCCTCAGAAGAAGGGAAGCAACCGTATCCAAACGGGATTTCAATGCCACAAAGTAATTAAGGAAATTTAAGAGGAGTTCATTAACGTACCTTGTACCAGTTATAGCCATAAACTGTTGGAGTTTATCTCGGTGTCCTCTGCTTAATTTATGCTGTCGAGAACAAATACAAGAAAAATTATATTATAGAAAGATGTTTTCATGCCCTGGGTGCATTGTTGTACGCATAAAAGTCCACGCAGACGTATGAGCATGTCAATAAAAAAAAAAAAAAAAAGAGTTAAGCATGCAGCAGTCGCTTAAATTTAGCATAAAATATCATTACTCCATGCATCAAACCGCAATCTCAACCAGTGAAATCAGCAACCAGAAGATAAAACCTCAATCTAAAACTCATGCATCCGAAGACTTCAGAATTCCGTGATGAAGTGACTTTTACACAAAGATAAAGAGCAGAGTGTTTCGGTTATCAAATATGATAGAGAAAAAAATGTAGTCAACATTAATCCTGGCCTCTGGAATAGAAATTGAAAGCAGCTTAAACAACAATAATCTTGCACAGAGAAAAAAAAAAGTGAGAAGGAATGCAATAATTGAATTAACAAGAACCGAAGAGTGGAAACACTAACCATTTTGGAGGTCGTGGATACAAGCCTCGCGCAGAGAAATGGTAATCTGAGGGTAGACTGGCCGAGAATGGATTCTCCGACTCCGGAGAACGTCGAGAGAGAATTCTAGGGTTGTTTTCTGGAAGCTCTATTTCTCTCTCTGAAAGAAGGCAGTGCAGGGAGTTCGATTCTGTTTTTGTATTCTTTTTTATTAAATTATAGAAAATATAGTAATTTTTGTTTTAATAATTTCTTAAATTCTAAAAGGTTTCGAAAATACATTTGTTCAAAAATAATTTTACTATTAAATTTGGGAGAGAAAAGTTAAGATTTCATTTTAATAATATTTTAATATTAACTTTGAATTTTCAAAAGCTTCCAAATGACTTTACCTCAAAAAATGTTTAAAAAAATAGAAATGTTTAAGAAAATTATGCTTAAATTTCATATCAATAATACCTTTCAAAATATCAAAAATAAAATTAAAAAAATTAATACTTTTATCAAAAATATTATTTTTATGCATATTATTCCGGGAAGAAAATAAATAATAACAAATTATGCGATAGTTATCTATATTAGATGGCTAAATCTATATATATATATATATATATATATATATATATATATTAAACTCAATCATATATATCAAAGTCAATATTTTTCTTGTATTTTCTCTCTACTATCATTTATGTTCACTTAGATTGAATGTGTGAGTTGTTGTGCAGTTCTAACTTCTAAATCAAAGTTAAGAAGTATTCACCATGATATGTGAAGATGAAAAACTTAAAAATGGGAGTTAAGAAATATTCACCATAATATGTGGAGATGAAAAACTTAAAATTGGGAGATAAGAAATATTCACCATGATATGTGGAGATGAAAAACTTAAAAATGGAAATTGAGAAATTTGATAAATTCAATTTTAGTTTATAGAAAATGAAGATTAAAGATTATTTGTACCAGAAATATTTTTATAAACCCTTATTCAAGATGAATAAGACCATGGCTACAGAGCATTGGAAACTCAAGGACTATAGGATTGATTTGATTGACGCTGTCCATAAACGTAATGTTCAACATTATCAAAGAGAATATGATATTGGACCCGTTGAAGATATTGTCAAATATGTAAAAAAAAAAAATAATCTATTTGATGCATAGATTATTCCATCTACAAATGTCTCAAGGTGTATTTATTACGAAACATATAAATGAATTCAATAAGAATATAAATCAACTGAAGCATATAAATGAATTAATAAGAATATAAATCAACTAAAGCGTATAAATGAATTTAATAAGAATATAAATCAACTGATTTCGATGAAAATTAATTTAAAAAAATAAAATTAAAGCCGTTAATTTTAATGTCATGTTTATCCGAATGTTGAAATATTGTTGTTGCTACAACGAACAACTCTCAGGACCTAATTAAGGGGCTCATTTGCAATTTCTATAGGTTATTTTTCGAAGATTGGAGGGTCATGGCAGCAATTTTGCTATACTTGCAGGATTAGGGTTTTAGATCTAGGTGTCTTTGCCGAACGCTATTTAAACGCCTTGCAGGATGCCCAAAACTCGTTCTGCATCGCTCTTCTCACTCCAAAATCTCCTCTATGGGTTATTTAGCTGGTATTATGCCCTAATTTTGTTGCGGCTGATCCGCGGATCTTAGTCTTAATCGTGTATGCACTCGCAATGCATCTTCGTCGGATGGTAAATAGCTCGGCCATGCTTGATTGTTTGAATAATTTGATATGTGCAGTCAATTTTTTTTTTTTAAATATATATTTTTTAATTTTGTAATTTTTTTTTATTTTTTTTATAGATTTCTTGATATATCCGATTCATTTGTTTGAGGTCATCGGGGTGTTGGATTTGTTAAGTCTAATAGTGGCAGTGATGATGAATTCATATACCATCAAACTATGAAAGCTCTGTCTTCTTTTTGGGGCGAGCTTGTTGATGTCACCATGAATTTTTCTGAGCCTTTCTTCTTGACAAGGATGGTTCAATTTTTAGTTTTTAGGTTTTACTTGGTTTGTTTTGGTATTCAATATCTGAGCCTATCTTCTCGTGAGTCATCGAATGAACAATCGCAAAAGGCAATAAATTAGAGTCTCTGATACGCTCTCTCCCGTGTCGTGATCAGCGCTGTACGTTGCCAACAAGGATTTGGGGCCGAGATTCTGGCACCTGCCTTTTATGTTCGTAAGGCTGTGCATTTAGGTGCTCCTACATTTGCATATCCAATATTGTTCGTTTTGAAATTATTGCCATTTCGATATCCCTTTGCTTGCTTTTTCGGATATACATCCTTTTAATTCTAAGATTTGAGAAATATGTTTGTTCATTTGATAATGTGGCGCAACAACTTGTTCAGTTTCATTCACGTATTTTTCTTGAATTGCCGTTATGTTTTTGGATACCGTTGGAACTTGGAAGGTATGACCTGTAATTTGTAGTAAATGGTCGATCTGTTGGTGACGAATGATGAGATCCAGCCGGAGGAAATAGGAAGAAATCAGGTATTCTATGGAGGCACATGCTTGGCCTTTGATTTAATCTTGCTTTTTTCGGCCGCGGGCAGTGTCAAAATTTGTACCCAACCTGAAATATTTCTTCAATCTGTGAAACACATGAATTCCAAGACCCGCACTCTGATTAACATAGAAGCTGCTTAGAATGTGAAACAGGACCCAGGCCGAGTATTGACGAGGGCTACCAATTCTAAATCACAGGATGCTCCCTTGCCAACGTTTAATTTCATTCGGATGTTAGTCTACAAGCCACAAGACCAAGTTATGTTATGTACATATGCAAATTGGACCAAGTTATGTTATGTACATGTGCTCCCTTGCCAACGTTTAATCTCATTCGGATGTTAGTCTACAAGCCTTCATTCCATACACGTTTTTGTCAACCTTGGACCATTTACAAATAAAGTGAATTTGTACACACCCTGGACTTGTGAATAATGAAATAAACCATTTGAATGTCAATGTGAGCATGTCTACGCCATAGTAACCCCTGAACCCTAAGTCGTCATAACGACAAAGTTGGGGATTTAAATTTTCTCACCTCTATGATTGGTTATTTAGTCAATAAAGTTGATTTAAAGAATAAGACCAATTTTTGAGGTTGACGGGATGATGTCTTCTTTGACCATTGATTGAAATGATACTTAAATTTATGAGGTTGAAACTAGTGTATGCATCAATTCTGACTGATCAGTGTGCCATCGATTGTGATGCCTGGAATAATTGAATTCACCATCGTGAGTACAGAAAAAGAAATTAAAGCTAGCAAAAATCTGCTTGTTGATGAAGAACCGAGGGTGTGAAATGAAATTAAGAACGGAGTAAAACCAAGGGTTGTGAAGAGTGATTTAAGAATAATAATAGTTGTGCACAATATCGCCCAACAAAAGTTGCTTGCTAGGTTGTCGAAGAATCAGAGTTCAACACATGGACAGAACAAAAGAGATATTTATGGGAATATCAAAGCTTCATCTTCCTTTCTTTTTGTTTTTCTCCAGAAAAACTATAGACAGATCAACACAACGCAACAAAAACCAACGGAATCCACAATTTCTGATCAGCCAACTTTCATCGAGCAAGCATAAAGGCAAAATAGATAACAGTCAAATATTTTATATTTACTCTAGTGTAACGGTCCAAATTCACCGATAGATACGGTCCTCTTTAGGCTTTTTTTTTTTGGGCTTCTCCTGCTTTAAAACGCTTCTAAATTCATCACCATAGATACGGTCCTATTTAGGCTTTTTTTTTTCGGGGCTTCTAAATCAATAATGACTTATATTCGATCAAGAGAAATTTGAAATTTGAAACATAGAATCAATAATCAATTGTTTAATAAATAGTAATTAAATTTAATTAAAAGTGGTTAGATCGAGTGGAGAACAAAAAAAAAGAAAAAGAAAAAGGT